TCCCCTATTTATTATTTGTTAAATCTCACTTAAGTTAAAGCTGTGCCCATGGATCTGAGCACCACTTCACAGATTTTGAACTTTAGTTATGACTAAAGCAGAAGACTGTTTTTCAAAACTCTCAGATGTCAGCTACCTTTCCTCTAAATTACTCTGTGTCCTTGGGCACATCACTTTCGTCCTTTCATTTTCATTTCTTTAACAAAACCATGCAGCACGTGTTTGTATGCCAGAGGAGAGGAGAGACTGCTCATTATTTTGAACTCTAAGCAAAACATGAAGGCTTCCTCTGCTAATTAGGGCATCAGCCTTATTTATTCAAGTGGTGACATGTTTTTGAATGAACTTTGGATCTTCATGTTGCTATCTAAGCAGTGCTACATAGACAACAGGAAAAAATCTTTCTTCCATCTTCAGTATTTAAAAATATGACTGTACTGATGGCACAAACAAGGACCCAGGTGTTTCACTGAAGAAAGTTGGAATTACAAAAGCAGCTTACAGGCTTTCTGTCTGCAGGGGGCTTATGCTGCCACAGGTATTGTGCTAGCACCCTGTGTGCCCCCACCCCCAGCCCATATTGCAAAGGTTTTGGACTTTTTTAGTTTCCACTGAAACTTGGCACTATTGGAGCACCAAGGTCACCATATATGCTGTGCATAAAGCCGGGAAATTTTTGACTCTATGTATCAAAGTATGAGAAACTTGAATATTCAGTGGAGGTTTTCTTTGTCTTCCTTTCTATTTTATTTTTTTGAAGGTAAGGAAGCCAGGCAGATTGTTAGGCAGGACTTCTTAGAAAGCAGTTTAGAGCAGCATCTGAAATGTGTGATTCTTGGAGCCTTCAGAGACTTCTGTAAAATGTGTGCCCAACCTTCTGTGAAAAAGTGGTGCATGGAATCACCTACTTAAAGAACACGGTTTATAAAGATAACAAAGACATCCATCCTTCATCTGACATTAATTTTTTTTTCCCCAGGTAGTTTTGTCTACACCCTGCTGTTTGGCAAATTCAGAGTTAAAAGGAAAAATATTTTGGTTTGAGTTTGAACTAAACATCCAGCCTCTGGACATGGCTCTGAGTTCTCTGGTTCTGCCTGCTGTGTGTGTTCGGTGTCTGCCGTCCGCATCCTCGCTGCTCAGCTGGCCGGCAGTCTGGAAAATGCTGATGTTCCAAGGGTTACTGGATTACAATTGTTCTCTGCAAACAAAATTCACATCTGTTCTGACAACTTATTTCAGCCTGATGCAACTTGAAAAGGTCGAGATTAATCCCAGAAAATCAGACTTCTATTTGAAAGGCCAAATCAACTTTAATTGTAACACATGGCTATTTGTATTGGCATTTAGCTGCAGCCGTTTATCCTCCTTTCCACTGGTATTATTTGTTTCTGAGCTTGCTACTGAAGCCTACAATGCCAGCTGAAATGTTTTAAGTAATATAACAAAAATAACAGCTGACATCTTTCCTTTTACAGGTTTTCACTGACCCAGGGTATTTTGTGTGCATGGCTTTTATGACTTTTGTTTATCAGCAGTCTGGGTAAAATAGTCATAGAAGAAAATGTTGGTTCATTTTATAAAGATTAATGGTGGCTACTATACCCTCCTATCCTGTTGGCTTTATACATTAAAGCCCGAGGGGATGAACCACATGCTCTGGAGTTCTGCCTCCTACCTAGTTTGGATCCCAGACATTAAGGGATTTAGAGCCCCTTTGCATAACACCAGTTGCAAGCTATGCTTTTGCATGTCAGTGAGGTGACTAAGAGCAGCAGCTCTCCCCTAGGCATGGTGTAACACCTCTCCAACCACCCTGCTTCTCCTGGCAGCTGCTATCAGCTCAGCCGTTCAGCCATCAACTGATAGCTGAGCTCTCAGATCCCCTGAAAAGTGACAGGATGAAAGAGACTGGTTTGGCAATACTTTGCTCTTGCTGTTTGGCCTGGAGAAAGATACTCTAAGTGGTAAGACTGTTTAGCAACAGCTGGCAAGCACCCGGGTGTGAGCCTGATTTTCAGACATGACAAGCACTTATAGGAATGTTGCCAGATACAGCTGTTTAAAAGCCTTAATAAACAGCAAGTCAATACTAATCTTTGCCAAATTAATCTTTTCCTTGACAGCCCATCAGAGCAATTATACTCAGACTCGTTGTAAACACACAATTGTCAGAGGGTAAGGATCTTCTCTGCAGTGTACTGATTTTTGCACACGGATTGTTTTCCAAATAGGTAGGCTTCCTTTTCTTTTCTTTTCCTCTTCCTCTCTCTTTTTATTTTTCCTTTTTTCCCCCTCTTTCATTTTATTTTCAGTCCGGTTATATGATTGCCAGCTTGGTATTAGCCTGAACAAAATTTCTTTGTAAAGTGTCTATCACAGCAAGTCCTTAATAGAATGTGAAATGATGACAGTCACAGGATCCATGCAGATGCACATTTGCTAGTGGGTTTCTCTAATTAGGCAGTAACTGTGACAGACTCCGAAATGTTACAAGTCATTGTTCTCACTTGTCCTCTTGTTGGTGAAGTAAGAGCTACATTTGAGATGTGATTTAATGTGCTGCTGGGTAATAATAAAATACATGGGTTTGCAAAGGAAAGCAAATGGTGTCTGTGAGACCTGACACAAAGCACCTCCTGTTCTCCAAAGTGCTCAGCACCTCCTGCACCACTGCCAGCATGCTGCTATACCCACAAAATAATATTTTATTTCAATGCAAAAGGGCTTGAAAACACCAGAAAAAATAATTAACAGGATAATGGTTGTTTATCTGTCTGCCTCCCTGCCTATCTATCAAGTCTTTTTGACTGTATCTGTACCTCTATATCTACCTATCAATGGGAGTCCAGGGGAGTAACTCCTGTATGGGCTACATAACATGTCTTTAGCTAATTCTCACAGTATGTGCAAAATATGGATATTTACCTACTCCATTTTCCCAGAGCACAGAAAGATATCTCTGTGGATCTGCCATGTTTACAGGACTGGGGAAGAAAGAGGCTTGGAGATGGTAGTTCAGGGTGGGGTGATGTCTCAGAAGGCTAAAGAAGGTGGTAAGAGAGTGTTTTACCTTCCAGTAACGAGCTCTTTTTTTGTTGGGTTGCATGTTTACAGAGGAGCCTCACAGGGAATATTTGGCAGACACCACTGGAATCAGGAGCTGGTATTTGGTGAGAGAGAGAGAAGTGGGCATGAATACATTACATTTCCCTGTGAATGGCTGGGGCCCTCTATGAATACATTACTTACTTGCTGCCTGTGGATGAGTGTGAGGGGAAAATCCTATGGCAGGCCCATTGGAATTAGAATTTGGCTTCTTTGGTCAGAGGCAGCAGCTGGATGAGATTTCTGCTTGGAACACGTGTGAGTCTGGGGATAGAGAGACCAGGATATCTCCTGTCACCAGAACATGGTACACTGAGAGCAGCAGTAAAATCAAAGAGCTTTTCCTTGTTAAAACCTCTGCTTGCCTTGTGCAAGCAGATGGAACTTACAACCTGCAGAGTGTATATGTTGCCAACCTTGCATTCTGTCCACCATGTTTAAAAAAGAATTTAAAAGTATATTATTTTTAATGAATGGCAGACCATGTCCTTTGGTTTCTATCACTGTCAGATGTTTTTATTATATTTTCTTGCTGTTACTGTGTTGCTTCCATGTGCAGGTTGTTTAATTCCTGTGTGCTTTCTCATTATTGTGGTTAGGCCAGGTGGTGACTTACAAGCAGTGACTGGGGTGTCTGTGTTGCTGTGGTACCCAAGGCACAGTGCTGCAGTGAAGGATGGGGCACATCTTCACCAATTCCAGTGGAGTTTCACCTGCTTACAGAAGGATCTCAACCATTTATTGGCAAGTTATATCTGACAATACACAGCCGAAACCAAACAGCAGAATGCCCATGGCTGGCAACCATTTGTTTTTCTGAGGTCAGACATGAAGAATTGACATCTGTGGATTGAATATTTCTTTTGGGAAAAAAAAAAAATGGTTTCAGTATACCCATGGCCAAAACCTGCTGTTCTTCCAGCACAGTTGTTTAATGTGAGCAGAGACTGGACACAGAATAACACTCAGAGCACTGGATGGGTAAAGTGCTGCACAGTAAACACTCCACAGGTTCCCGTGATGACAGACTGAGAGACACCAACTAGCCAGAGGTTCATACAGAATAAGTATTTTATTCATGATGTATTTTTTTATTTACATTAAAGTTTTCTTGTATTTCGAACTCTGCTTGGATACCGAAATTAACAACTTTATGTGACTGCACACCTGCTCTAAAAGAAATGAAGATAACACAGTTCTTTTCCATAAAAGAAAAAAGAAAACTGCCTGTCAAAATCAAAGTTGATTTTTCTCATTTTCAGTAATTATCTTTTCTCTTTAGAATTAATATGAGTGGAAAATGTAGTTTACTGTAATATAATAAATAGAAGACATTGGGTAATTAGTAGCGCTGGTATATTTCTAAAGTACTAAACAGACAAACAATAAACTGTGAATTTAATCACAAGTTCTCATACAGTTTCAAGACAGGAAAATTAGAGCTCTCAGCTACAGTTATTTGAGTAATCACATCTGATCTGCATTATTTATTAGTTATTACATGCCAAGTGATTCTGATTGTACATTGCCTGAAATCATTCAGAAGCAAGCATGCCTTTGTTTCTGTTTTGTTTTATAAAAAAAACCAATGGCATTGCCAAATGCGTATTCTATCCGAATTGCTTACTTTATTTCACACAGAAAACACAAATCAGTGGTGGTGTCCATTAATGGGACAGGCATCTGGGACAAAATCATCCAGAAATATATTTTCAGAGATATCCCTGATCCCAAACATTGACAAAATACCTTCTTTTGGATGTTTTTATCCCTTTCTCTGTGGCTGTTGAACTTACCTTTCATTTTAGGATATATTTCTGATATACTTCCTAAAATTCTGCAGGACTTTTGCATATATAATAAAATGGCTGAAGCATATTTGGTAACATTTCTTTTGGTAATATGTTTATTCCACTTGACAAATTAACAAAACATGATGAAATTTCAAGAAGCAGTGTTATGAAGTTCTATTCAGTTAGTTTTGTTTGTTCAAGTCTTAGTTTTGGGGAACTTCCTCCTACAATGATTTAAAAAGGGAATTACTTAAAATACCTTTTTTTATTTTCCATAACAACCAAAGAAATAGAGAAATAGTTCTTGGTTACCTTCATTTTCTGCCATTAAAGCAGGTTTGTTGTTATATTTGTCACTGTAAAAACTAAATAAAGTATTCACATCATCAGTTGTGAACAATTTGTGCCAGCAAAAGTTAAAGCGTCAAAGAAACCTCTTTAAAATGCTAACAAATTTACTTACAAACACCTATATTTATTATTTCATAAATAGGCGCAACAGGTTCCATAAAAAAGATTAAATACAGACACAGTATGAAGAAACAATAATACATAGCCATATGTAGAGGTTATAATTTAGCTGTCTCCAATCTGTTTCTGCATCTAATAAAATATCAGGTAAGCATTTGGCAGTTTTATACATAAAAGGACTTAAATGACGTTTACTAACCAGTACACAGAAAGTGATTTTCTTTAAAAAAAAAGCATTTTTTTTAGGCAGTACAAAATAAATGTGTTTGCTCTTTATCAACATTAGTTTTTTCTCCTAAGTTTTTTGTATTTATTTCACGAGACAAAGCCAATATTTTTAATTAATATAATTTGGGACTACTTTACTTTTTTTCTCCAAATACTTTGAAAATATAGACTATCAGTCATTGTTTAAAAATGAAGTAAAAATATGAATGTTTGCCAATTTTACCCTTACTGTGAAATCAATAAACTGGAATGAGCCAGTTTCAATTACAATTAGCTACAAAAACATTCACATTTTATACTCTAGGAGAGTGTAACATAGATGCTATTTACAAACTTGCTATGACTGCTACATCAAGCCATTTAAAAAGTCTTTAGTAGTTTCATATAAACACCCATTATGAAAAACCAATGGAAAATCCAGGACTTTTATCCGAGACATCTACAGTTGCTAAGGCAGTTACTACCGCAGCACTTCACAGCAAAAACCAACATAAAATCTGAATGGTCCAAGTTTCCTTCAGGGAAGAAGAAAAGCAATGTCCGTTAGAGGATCTCAGGGAAGGGGTGGAAAGGAGAAAGAAAGAGAAAAAATGGGGAAAAAAAACAAAGAAAAGGAAAGAAGCAAGACTATTTTTTCCAGAGTGGGTGACCCACAAGCTCAAATAGTCCTAAGTGCTTAGCAACTTGTATTTTCTAATAAAATGCAGAACTGCCCTGACTGCATAAAGCAATCCATGATGAAAAGACTTCCCTGCATTCCTCAGTGAAAGGAAAGGAGAGGTGTTTCAGATTTTCAGGTAAGGTAGAGTGCTTTGTCCCTCTGCATGCCCCTGTTCAAAGAGAAAAAGAACAAATGTGACTTTTTTTTTTAATATTTGAAAAATTTTTAGTTCTATTCTTCAAGAAAAAAAAAAGATCAGCCCCACAACCCCACTGCATGTCATTAACTCCAAGCATATCACTGAAGTACAGCTGCATTGCCATGGCAATAATAAGAAAAAGTCATAGTAACTTATAGCAACCTGGAGGCCACATCTGTGTTTAAAATTGCACAGGACTGGAACATGGGTTTGAGCACTGGTTTAGGGTAACCTGCACTAGTGGGCTGGTGGCACTGACTATCAAAAACTGCTTGGAGCTCTGGATTTAGCACAGAGCTCCAAGCTCAACATCACTTATGGAGTGATGCTCCATAAGTGCCCTATAAGAAGCAGCCAGTTTCCTTAGAGGCACGAGAGCTTCATTGCATGAACATGGGTGTCAGCCACTTACTGAGCCTCTGGCACATTTGTTTCACCAGTAGAGATATAGCCAAAATGTGCTGTCCTGGCAGGTTCAGGTAAGCATTTGCAAGGGGACAGCAGAAGCTTAGCAAAGATAGTTTAAGTTAATATGGATTTACAAAGGCTGATCTACACAGAGTGGGCTATCTACAGGCATACCTGCTGGGGATGGGAAGTTACACCCACTGCACATCTGGAGAGCACTTCTGGGAACAAAGACACATTGCTTTGTTCCAGAAGAGACCAGGAATCAAATCCACAGGTGGCTGTGGCTCATTTTACAGAGGACAGTCTATTCAGAGCTCAGTGTAAGTGGTTGTAAAAGTCTGTGGGCTGGATAGACTTCAACATGGGCCTGCAGCACATATATTGACATGGTGGTAGAGCACAGAAGGGAAACTGTTCTGCTGAACAAGTGGCCAAGTCATGGAGCAACAGTGATAGGCATGGGAAAGAATGATGCTGCTGTTCAGACTAGCTAGAGTACACCTCAGTGTTAGCAGGTTGTAGCAAAGGTGTTATTCTGAACTAGTAGCCAGAAAATTATTTTTATTCCATTCTGAGTTCCAGAAACACTTTAAAACAATAGGGCAAGTGAAATTTTTGATTTAAGTAAATGTAATAGATGAAACTGTTCTTTAGTTCTACTTTCTGTTCATTTGTCTCGGCTAGATTTGGCACTTTGGGAGCACCCAAGAGCTTTTATCTGCCATTGCCTTGGGGATTCAGGCTAATCAAGGGGAGGTCAGGCTGGTGGGCATGTTCACAAGGCACAACATCTATAATTTAAAACTGAAAAGATACCTTCTGTTCAGTCTTAAATGTTTCCAGGCAGTTCCTGGCACAGTAACATGGCTCCACAAAAACCATGCTGCCAGAAGTTGAAGGTTTGAAGGGGTTACTAACCTTATATTGAGGACACAGGGCTCCTACAGGTATGGTGTTTTGTTTCTGGTTACAGTCAAGTGTTCTTCATGCCATTTTCTTCCATGTATCTTGTATGCCATGTATCAGCCCTGCTTCTCACTGATGAGGTTTTTCATGATCCAAGTTAGTTATTTTCATGACCCAGACTAGAAAATTGTTCACGTCATTTGCCTCTCATTGAGACATAGTGATCTTAAAACTTCTTTCTTACTCCTGAAATCCCTAAGATTTCAGTTCTGATCTTCTATAGAATGCAAGTTCTCTGAGACCTAGAAAGTGTATGTGCTGTGATAAGGTGACAACAATGTCTAATAAATGTATGTATTGAACAATTGCTCTCCCACTATAGACTAACTGCTGAATAAATACAGGGCCGTCACAGATACACTTCAGAAACACTGTGGGGAAACGGGCAACAATGCTGTTCCCAAATTCTCTATCATATACTCGTGTCATGAATGTTGCTCAACACAAGGTGGCATTCACTGGCTGCTTACCCATTACTGCAGTAGTCATTATTCCAGTCCACAGTCTGTGCTGGAGGATTTCTGCACCCTGAACGAACATACTCCATTGCTTGGGTCACAACTTGTGCAGCTGTTGATGTTGGATTGATGATATTCTGATAATCAGGCTGAAGAGTAAATCCCTAGAGGAGAAAACAAGCACATTACAAAGTATGGAAAAAGAGTAACAGGTTGGGTGCATTAAAAAAAGTAAAAATGCAGACTGTACTGTGCAATGCTATAAGAGAATACTTCTTTTCCAGGTGTGATTTTGGTTATAAAACCTAAAATAGGCCAAGATGTGTAGGTGCTTTCTAAGTTTTAAAATCTTTCTTCAGTTTGAGAAATTAAATGCTGCCAAAGCATTGTTTGCTGTTACACAGTCACAGGACAGAACTAAAGGAGACAGAGCAGAAACAATTCAAAACCAAGAGAACAACTCAATCAGCACTGGGACAAAAAGGTCTGTTTGCTCCTTAGAGCTTCCATTTAGATTAAATGTAAGCATACACACTAGTCACTAATTCCCAGAATATGCAACAGAATCTTTTTGAAGGATGCAGGCAGCAGGTGGCTGACTGTTTTATTAGACTACACCTATTCACGTATTGTTCTCAAAACCCTTTTTCTTCATTCAGTCACAAAGGGACCATCTGCTGCTTCTTTTATTTGCACTTCTCTCTCAACTAAACGGAAATTCAACCAAAGCTTTTTAACAGTTGTTGGACTAATGTAGTGAAAGTAGCACAGAATAACTTCCTTTTGAAACCAAGGAGATGAGAAAAAAAAAGTGGACGTTACAAAGAGACATCTAACCTGCTCCCTGAATTTTCTGTCATATGAAAAGTCATAATCATTTTTAGCCATTTGATATATTCTAATGTTTAAATATTGTGTTTAAAACTCAGGAGAACAATTGAAATTTCAAGGCTTGTGTATCTGGTTCACCCTGTACATCATGTTCCTGTAAAGTAGGAAGAGCTGTACTGGGTAAAATCATAGGAATGTTGTATTAAAGCAATCGATGTCTACTGAAAAAATCCAGACCAAAATCCTTCCTGAGGCGAGGGCATACAATTCTCACTGAAGTTAACTGGATGCATAGCTACTAAATCCGAAATGGAACTTGCACCAAGATACCTAGTTTGGAAACTCACTCCTTCCAGCCAAAGCCCACATACAAAATCGATAGAATTAACTCTCACAGCTTTTTGTTAATTCAGTGTTAGTGCATTGTGTGTGATTGCTTTTCTTATGCAGCCTTCATTAGCTGGAACTTGCACCAAGATACGTAGTCTGGAAACTAAAATGGAACTTGCACCAAGATACCTAGTTTGGAAACTCACTCCTTCCAGCCAAAGCCCACATACAAAATCGATAGAATTAACTCTCACAGCTTTTTGTTAATTCAGTGTTAGTGCATTTTGTGTGATTGCTTTTCTTATGTAGCCTTCATTAGCCTTCAGTTTTGTGGACAGATGTTTTTTTTCTGCAGGTTTAAGGCGGCCACACTACCCTTTGTCAAGATAAATGAATATTCTCAGTTTTCAAATCACCCATGTCCCCCTTCATCCACAGAAATTACCTTCCTTCAAATAGAACATCACTTCCTTCTTTTCATCTCTCTTCCTTGGTTATTCCCTGAGGTTCTGCAGGTGTTTTGCCCCACCTCTCATGTGCACGGCCACCTCGCTCCACTCATACTTATCACGGGTTTTAGTCTAGACCATAAATGACTGCAACTTTATTTCTTAATCTTTTCCATATGGAGAATACCCTGAGTAACGCTACAGTACCTTAAACACTCTTGGAAACCTCACTTTGTCCCTGTTGACTCCAAGAAACAGACCATTAGTAGTGAGCAAGTTCACAGCTGAATTCTGCATCTAGTTGCCATGTTATTTATATACTGCCCTCTTAATGAGATTAAATAAAGCCTTCCCATGGTGGGTGTTACACCCATGGGGACTGTAACCCCCATGCTCATGCATTGCCCTTTCACCAGGCTCTAAACCTGTGCAGCGAGCTGCAGAGACAACCCCTATACCTGCAACAGATCCAAAGGAAAGAGTAATTGAGCAGATTTCCCAATGACTTTAATTGGAGTTTTGTGTAATTAGAAGGCAGAAAATTTGGGTTTGTATACCATTTCATCATTTTTATACAAAACATCAACCATAAAGCCTTTTTAATTTAGCAGTAAGAGGACACCAGCCACAGAAACACATCCTGCCCCAGACATTCAGATTTACCTTTGGTAGCAAATACCCCGATCTATCGTATATACAAGAAAAACACTATACAGGGACAGTAGCTAGTAGCAAAGCATGCAAGTGAGCAGGCACAGAGACTCAAGTACTCCTAAACCATAGAATGGTTTGGGTTGGAAGGAACCTTAAAGACCATCTGGTAGGCAGGGATGCCTTCCACTAAACCAGGTTGCTCATAGGTCCATCCAGCCTGGCCTTGAACACTTCCAGGGAGAGGGAGCATCCACAAACTCCCTGGACAGCACTCATGAAGCAAGGAGACTTCCTCCAAATCCAAGGAAGAAACCATCAGTACAATATCCATTCCATTTCTTCTGGAATTAGGATAAATTAATAGCTTAGGTGTCAGAGAATGGTCCTGGGTCTTAACTCAGGAACTGGGCGTGGATGCATTCTCATATTTTTTCAGGTTTTCTGTGTGACCACAGCCATAGTGCTTTGAGTCTCTCCAGCAAAGCACATGTGCATGGGTGTTTGGACTGAATTGGTATCTCTCATGTTAAGGTTGGGGCTGCAGAGCCAAATTTAATTCTTCCACCTGCAAAATAAGGTGTAACAATGCTTTCATCTTGTACCTCACAAGTCTATTTAGTTTACGGCTGCCTGGGATAGGGCTCTGTTTCTTAGGGCACACTCAGGTGATAAATGCCAACATAGTGCAGGGGTATCTGAGCCAGGCTCCAGTCCTAGAAGGTTCTCAGTGGTGGCTCTGGAGGGTTGAGGGCTACCAGAATACCGGCACTGTGGGCGATGGAAAGCATGCTTGTTAAAGTCAAATCATTTAAGCAACCTCAACTAAGCAGGACTGATAAAGTATGGTACAGTTTAAGATGCAAACAAAATTTACTTCAGCTTTTTCATCAATAGAAAAAGCTTTGAAAATATAGATCTGTACAACAGAGGGAAACAGCCTTGTACCAGGCTTGTGGTAAATATTTGGGTATTATATATGTAAGCCTTTAACAAACAATGATGAAATAAAAAGTGCTCAGAAAATGAGTGCTTCGAGGTCTAATTAAACAATGGTGAATGTTTTTGCATTGTAATGCTCAAGAGAAAATCACCAACTGTTTTGCAACATGCCTAGAATTTTAAATTTCATTTTCTTGTCCCAGATTGAAATAAAAATAGGGAACTTGATAAAGATTAATTTGATGTCAGGAGGGACATTTGCTCTTTAATTAGATTTCTGTAGCCCTAGCAGTTTCGTTGTGCTACTGTAGCAAGTCCTAAAAAGCCTGCAGCAGAACTAAAGAGTGATCCTCATCTCCACACTTTACTAGGAACTAATTTCATTTCCTGCCTGTCTGGAGAGGTATTTTCAACAGGCATCAATGTTTTTGTCTTCACAACTGATTTATTCATCAATCTCAATGTGATATTTTAAACCTTTAAATTACATCCAAATCCTAAAGCATCTGTTTATTACACAAGGAAATTGAAAATCTGTCTGTGTGATATCATACAAAGATTTTTCCTTAAGGTTATAAAGGAAGTTGACAGATATTAATGATTTTTTTTTTCTTTTGACCTCATTCGAAGACAAAGCTTAAAAAAAAAAAAGAAGAAGAAATCTGGACAAATACAGCAGGTTCCTGAGTTTGCTGTATATAAAATATATAGCAGAAAAAATGAGGTTATTATTTTTGGCAGGCTGTGCAATCATCTTGCTGTATACATTTGTTTTCTAAAGAAAAAAAACCTAAAAGTAGACTGAAATGAGTTATTATTAAAAAAAAAAAAGTGGCATACATTAATCTTCTGGTGCTTTGTCATGCATAGGTACTTGCAGCCATGGCTACTAGACATTAAGAATCTAGTTTTGCTTCCTCTACCTGTGAACTGAAATGGGACAGAGTTGGACATGGGACTGACCATCCCATGCAAGGCTTGGGTGAAGGATTTTGAGCAGGGAAGGTGATGCTTCCAGTCAGGCTACTTAAAAGGGTTCTTTAACAAAATCTGGGTGCATTAAGGAGGGAGTGAATCCTCAGTCTCATCACTCTTCACACCAAAGAGCACATTGAACAGGCTGGGTAGAGGTGTATGCCCAGAAAGAGGCGCAAATATCCATGCGAGTAGAGAAAGGAAAGAATGACCTTGCAAGTGAAAACAGGCTGCAGCTCCAGCTGCTGTTTCAGCCTGAACTTTGGAGAAATTGTGCTGATTTGAATGACAAGGGTTAATAATCAAATCATCTAAGGCCAACTGAGTAAAAATTAAACATCATGTCAAACCTAAGAAACAGACTGGAGAGAGACAACTCTGCATCAGTCAAAAAATTATACAGTGATAAGATGCTCATATGAGCATTTAATGAAAGAAAAATCACACTCTTCAAATCTACTGTGAGTCTACCTATGTGTCAAAGGTGGATAAAAGAAAAACTACAGCAAAGTGGATTTTGACTTTGAAAAGTAAAACTTTAACACAGTTCTTGTTAATGATATTTAAGAAAAATATAATGAATTGCAGAATTAGAAGTTAAAGAAAATAAAAATCAGGATCTAATTTTAAACTAAGTATGAGAATAGAGATAATTGTCATTTTTATGTAGTTTAAAGGATTATCACTGTAAACAAGAACCCCAAAGGCCTACAGTAGTGACCCTTTTAAAATTTATTCATTAACTGTTGGAACAGAAGAGAAAAAAGACAAAATCAACTTCTGAGAAGATACATTTTAGTTAACTCAAAATAGAGAAGATTGTTTAAAAGAAATTAAAAAACAATTACTAATGCTAGGCATATGACTAAAATGCTAATACCAAAATTTTACATTGCATTTCAGAAAAATTTGGATGCATTGCATCAGCTGCATACTCCACAGAGTTAATTGATTTTAAAAATAACAGAAATTGTGCAGCCACTGAGGACTTTTGGCTACCAACATTTTTGATTTTTTTGATGTTCTGTCGTTTTTGTGGATCCTCAAAGGAGATCTCCAGCTGGCAGTCACTCTCGATTTGGCAGCTGCACACGTGCAGGCAAGGAGTGCTGGATATGGAGAAGGACATGCTGTTCCCTGCAGAGCTGATGAAGACCAGCTCATTGTCCTGGAAGCAGTGGGAACAGAACTGTCTCCTCAGGTCAGCACTTCATAGCAGACCCTCCTCAAAGTTTGCATAGAAGAGTTTGTGAATTTCACGCACAATGTTTTCTGGAGAACTGTGTTCCTGCCTGCCAGGACTGAAATCTGGATCTCTTTGTGGTTTTTCTTGGAGTTGGCAGTCCTTCAGATATTCTACAAGATGGCCTTTGATAGGAAACTATCCTCCTTTTCCTGGAGAAAAAGACTGACCAAATGTCACAGAGCAAGAGTTCAAGCAGGGGATATGGTGAGAGCAGGGATTTGCAGAGCCTGCTATTGTTGAGTGTCACACTGGTGAGACAGGAACTATTTCAAAGAGGGATATTTGGGAAAAAAAAGAGAAAAAAAAAGAAAACAAAAAGAAAAAAAAACAAAAAAGAAAAAAAAGAAAACCCACAATTGATGATTTCTACTTCTAACATGCCTCCAGCACAGTTTGCAATGAAGATGCTCAGCCAGGTGAGCCAACACCTGCAGTAGAAAACTGCTCTGAGAAGAATAAGTTGGCAGACTTACTCTTCTCTTGCCTATTAAGCTCCATGCTGCAGTGTGACATGATGAAATTTGCCTCTTTTTTTTTTTTTAATTTTAGTGTTTTAGTTTATTTAGTATGAATAGTGCTGAGGCTTCCAAAGAGGAAAATGTTGTATGAGGAGTTCACTCCCTGGGGAGTGGTATGTTAACTAGTTTCTGTTCTTGCTGCCTTCATAGAGTCTTTGGAAAGGTTTATGGTGGCCATACCTAAGCATGGAGGAAATAAAACAACTTGAGAGAAGAGGAAGTGCAAAAATGTTGCTTTAAAAGCAACTATTGCTCTGCTTTCTCAGAATTCATATTCTTCCATTCTTCTTGGCTTTTTATTCAGGAGAGTGCTCTACACAGCGTTGTTTGGGACTGAACATCACATCCAGACTCCCCTTTCCTCCTCACCATAGGCCAGACAGACAGTGTGGTGCCTCCTTTTCTCCTTACTGCTGTTGACTCTGAGTTGCTGGGAGAGCTCAATTTTTCTCCCATGACATCTTTTCCTCTTTAACAAGCTCTGTGATCACCAGAGTGTTTGCTCTGTTTCAACCAGGAGGGAGAGCAGAGTCCTTTGACAACTGAGTCAGAAAGGTCCTTACTTTTAGGTTGTAATCTCTTGACTTTTTGCTATTTGTCTCCTGGTGACCAACCTGTCTTCTATGTTCTAACACAGTATGAAATCCTGGCTTTTTGTTTTCTACCATTTCTTGTCTAAAAAGGGTCATACCTAAGAAACTGAGCAGGATACCACTGTTCTGCTCTGTTCTGTTCTGTTCTGTTCTGTCATGGCAAATCATGGTATTGTTAGTACACCTCTAGCCCTCTAAAGTAATATATATTTTGTTATATTTAAATTCAATTCACAAACTCTATAAGCTGTTGTATGTAAAAAAAAACCCAAACAAATATTCCAAAGTGAAATGACATAGACTTTCCAGAGCTCAAAAGCTGCATGACCGTAAAGCAAAAGCAGGAGTGTAAGAAATATAAATTGGCTTGTAGATATTACAGTGATTAAAGAGATGTAGGTGAAGCATGGCAGTGAAGCATTTCAACAAGTAACAAGCACCTTGAGTGAAACAGAAATATCTCACCACGATATCTTCATTAAAAGCATCAGACTTTCTGACTAAGGAATATGAGTTGGTAAAAAGCATTTGACCTAAAATGTTGTGTTTAACAGGAACACAGAGGTACAGCATTTTTACTTAACTGTAATCATCCCTAGTTAAAAAAAGATTCATTGTGATAAAGGTCTACATTCCGACTTCTAGAGACCTGTTTTCTACAACCAAGGGTCCTGTACTTTTTCTTAAGCTAAAAACAAGTCAACTGTGTGCCATATATCCCACAGATGACTGAAAGTACTCTCAAACCATGGATGCACACACCTTATGCTACAAGCTTGCAACTTGGCAAAATAAAACAGCAGATTCATACTACATTACCTTTTCTTTAGCACAGAGTTTAGAGTAATGCCTAAGTGTTTATTCATACAAAAATGATAGTTCATGTATAAATATGTAAGTATCTAACATCTGCATGGCATCTTTTGCTAGACCCAACTCTACTATTAATTCACTAAATAGAGACAGATTTTCAAATCTATTCAGTAAATGATGCCTAACAATTCTGGAAAAGACATAAGGAGTTCGGCATTGGACAGCTAATACACTAGTGACACTGAAGCTGGCAAACAATCTGAACTTGGAAGACTGAGTGACTGTGCAATAAAAACTCATTGAAATATAGCTATAGGATCTCAACAGGTGGCCATCACAGATGTAATTTCTCATGTTTGGTAAATGAACCAGAGTATTGCTTTGTCTCTCACTGCTCTGAGACTGCAGTTCAACCAGGGTTCCTCTGGGCTCAGGATCTCCAGACAGACCCTCCTGGCTCACCCACCTAGGACTTCATCCAGCTTATTCCAGTTGCCCAGGCTTGGAGTCAGCTCCTGAGTTTCTCTGAGACTTGAGCAGGGCTCTTCTGGAACACTCACACTAACTGCAGGAAAATCTCCATGAATACGTGACTCCACATATGTGTGGTCATAAGTCTGTTGAGTCTTTTCTCTGAGAGTGAAAAATTGACTGAACTAGGAAAAAGTTGGGAACACTTCACAAGTTTTCCTTTTTGATTACTCCAAATCACTCCTGAGACTAAGATCAAAGTCTCTGACTAAATCCAAATCATCCTGAGCATATCTTGATTTATCTCCTGAACAACTAAGTTTATCAGTACAAATTGCTTTCAACACTTTTGGGTTTTTTTTCTGCTTTGGAAAATTTTTTCCCCTGTTAAAGTGTTCTCCCAGCAAGAAGCTATGGTTTGTGTTCAAGTATTTCCAACTCTAAAGACCAGTCTTGACATGAAATGTTTCTGGCTTGGAAAGCAAAGGCAAATGCCTTGTTAGCAAAGGTGAATTTTTAGAGAAATATAAAACATGGAGCAAGTTCATGACTATGTATTATCAGCCGGTACTGACAAGTTTTGTGTATACAAATTTTGTAGATTCTTGCAATTCCATTCAAAAAATTTTCATTTTAATGCCACTTTGCAAAGCAAGATATTATTATTGATAGTCAGATCTCATACAATACAAAAAGAATTTTTCTCTCATGCAATCAACAGTTTATCTGCTCTCTTTATGCTCCTCTGTAAGCCTGGAAGGCACAATAGCATGGATGGTCTGCATTAACTCAGAACTCATAGGAAATATATTCAGAATCAACTCTCTAAAACATTCAGAGTAGGGGAAAAAAAAAACAAACAAAAAAGCCCCATATTGGGATGGTGGACATAGCCCATTTATTTCCAGTAAAAAGAAGGTATATCTATTTAGCAAAATGGAGCTGTGAATGTGGAGTAATGTAAAACACTTATGTTCACTTAATCTAGCATGTTCAGTGCAACCTGGGTTACTTTATGTTTCCTCTGACAGTCCCACATCACAGTCAGCACAAGGAGAACAGCATAAGCTACAATCATATTTTTTCTAGACATGCCTGCCTTTTGTTTGCAAAGTGTGATTCCTGAAGGCTTTGCATTTCACTATTTCAGGGAAGTCACAGATTTGCAGATGGATCTATGGGCAGTGATGGACAAGGTCCCTAGCACAAACACTTCTACTGCAGTTTTCCATCATCTAGTTAAACTCCTTCATTTGTTCTTGCCCCTGAAAGACTAAGCATATACTACCATGGTTTTTGAATCTGCAAAATTAAAGCTAATCTAAATGTCTCTCACTATGCCAGCTTCTGGATGACTCCCCTCCCCACGCCCTTCCCAGAAATAAAATAATTCCCGAGAGAACTGAAAAGCCCCAACTTACTTGCTGCATTGTAGGTGAGTGTAAAGCAGACTGGACCTGCATTGGTAGCTGGTTTCCAATGGACTGCTGCATTGGGATCGGCTGGTGCTGCTGGATGTTGAGATGCTGGTGCAGAGGGGGGCTAATCTGAAGCGGTGGAGGAGGGGACACAGCCATGTTTGCTATGGATACAGTCACTGGCATTTGGTTGTTGGGCTTGGGCGCTATGTTCCTGGGGATGTTGGCATGCATGGCGGTGATGTGAGGATTCATTCCTGGTTGTTGGTGGTAGTGGGAACTGAGGTACAGTGCAGAGTGAGCCTGGGCAGGCCCATGAAACACTGACTGCTTTGAATTCATCATCTGAGGTTGTGGGGTGGCTTTAACATCAACAGGTTCGCTGTAGCTCTGTTGGGAAAAACAAAAATCAGAAAATGCTTAGTAGTCACCAAATATGGCTGTTCTACCCCCCTGAAGTCTGTTTAAGAGCCACACCATAGGCAAACATTTATCTGGACCATCAAATTTTCCTTGAATTGGAGTTTGCTTATTACTCTAGAAAAATAATTGCACTTTTGCCTTTAACATTGTAAAAAACCCAAGTAATTTAGGTCCTTAGTTTCCTGGTCTAGCCTGGCATTTTCTTTATCCAAACTTGGAACTGCCATCACTGATCTAATATCTTACACAACCAAGGCAACCAAGCCTGACACATTTTTTCACATAAGCAGCCACTATTATTGTCCTCAGATTTCATGGCCTAGTTGAAAGGAGAATTAGGAGGGTGGGTTATAGCAATATTCTGTAGTGATTTTTGACATGCCTTGTTTCTCCACCTGCAAACTATGGATAAGATTTTTAAGGTCTTTTACCATATACATTGGTATTGCTAAAAGCTATTTATCAATTAGTCAACATGATGAAGAGGCTAAACCCTATCCTCATCTGTTCTGCTGCATGGAATAAATACACTAGTTGCTGTGCCAATACCTTTATTTTGAAATATTTTGTGTTGGAGTACTATCCATGTCATCAAACATATTACATAGGCCACGCTTTAAGAGAAATAGGAATACTTTGAATAATTTCTCTTTTAGCAAAACATGCTTTATTAATCCAATTCATAAGGCTCTGAGAATTCTGTTTAAAACTTATAGCTGTATAAATGTTAACCTGCACCAGATATAGGAAAGTTATCTTCAGTCTAAAGCTAGAAGAATACTACATAGACTGTGAGAAACTGCAGTTTTCAGAAATATTGTGGTCTGCCCTGATTTCTTAAAGTTACTAATAGTAAAACTTCTCCATTAATGAATATGAATTTTAATAATACTTTTTGTTCTAATATTTAGAACTTGCTACATTTGGTTAAACTCAATTTACTCAATGTTTTTCATACATTTATTTTCTTAGATATCTGGAGTGCCAACTGTGTGCTCAAATAAATGAGAAAAAACATTAAGAATTAACTCACATATGCTTATAGGTGGGAATCATAATTTGAAGTTAAGTCATACTGGGATTAATAGTCAGTGAAAGGTGAAACATGCTGGAAAAAAAAAAAGGCAGAAATGTCCCTCTGGAAAAAGTCACTTTGTCAAAACAAGGCTGAAAGAGGAATACACGCCCTTATTCTGTGATCTCCGTGTCATGTTTGCTCAGTTTACAAGTCAGAGTAAGTTTCATTTTACTCTCAGCACTCCAGGGTCAGTGAAGTCTATTTGTATTCCTTCTGAAGGATGCACCATCACCAACAATCCGTTGACATGAGCGTTACTGAAATTGCTTCATTATATGCGATGATGAAGATGAGAATGATAACTTCCTTCTCCCTATGTGTAACTGCAGTTCCATTAGTCAAAAACCCCCTGTTTGCTTCGGTAAATGAAGGAAAATTAAATGAATATGAAAAAATTAATGTAAATCTCTGTCTCTGTGGATCTGCCTAGCTCTGCTGACGTGTGGGTGCACACGTGTGCAGTATATATTATGTTCATGTTTCCAGGATTCAGATGCAGACATAAAAGCCTGAAAGTAGCTGAAAAATCTGCCATTATTTGGATATTATTTTTTAAACACTGAATTAATGTTCATGAAAATATGGGAAGAATTCCCCCCCGCCTCCCTGCTTCCCAGTTGTGTTTTTAGAACACTCCTGAGTGTAGAAGCAATGACTGGCAGGTTTGCTGAAATTTCAGCAATTCAGAAGTTTGTTAATTAGCAGCATGGTCAGGAGACTCCTCTTGGGTGTCCCATGCTTATTACACATTACAGGAGGTGCAGGCTGTGTTCTTTCTTGAGAGACTTGGAAGTTTTACTGAGAGCACAGTCCCCTCATGGAAACAGTTGGTCTTTCCATGATGTAGCTGGCAGGGTCTCTGTGGTCCAAGCAGGGATAATTGCTCCTGAAGTGTCTAAGGGCAGATTGGCTAAACTAATCCTCCTGGTGAGGTGAGTGCTGCAAAAAGCCTTTGCTGACATACTGATATACACTTCTATTTCATTTGTTACTACAAAGATGCTGCCATATACCCCTTTAACAATGAAACAGGGAACTAATCTAATTACTGGACAATTCTGAGTTCACACGTAAGTGGTGGATGCATGGCCCACACTGATAAAATTACAGACATATAGATAGTATAATTTGATACTTTAAATGCTGAATTATGTTAAGAGGAATTGCAGAGTCTCTGGTCAGAGATGAATAACACTTATTACACCTCTGAGAAGAACTCTGCAAGGTGATCAAAAGGGACAGTTTCAGTTGTCCCAAGCTATGAATCAGCTTTCTATATGTTTCACCACCTCTTGATCCAGTAAAAAGCACAACACTTCAGTTTAAGATGAAATATTTTGCTGTAACTTAGGATGCTTTAAGTCATATGTGATCTGAAACCAAATTGTCCAATATCAGTGTAAAACACATCAATATTATCAGTTACTGGAATCTTGATAAATGAACCCATTTAATGCCATTCTCCAGCATCCTGCACTTTCAGCTTTTTTCTGCAGGTAGGTCAGAAACACATATTTTGTAAGTATTGCTGGACCTAATAAAATAGGTGATGTCAAGTTTTTCAGCTGTGTGATATCACTTTGCTGTGAAATAAAACAAGCAGCATGTATGACACACAGGTCACACTACGATTTTGGGCCCAATTGCTGCTTTCACAGACTAGAATGGGCATTGCACTGGTCCAGTGCAGTATCAGACAGTCTTACACAAGGACTTTTATTATGGGTAAAAATTGGAATTAAGAAATAATGGATTTGACTGTCCAATATGGGTTTCAAATGCACAGTTACATTTCCTACTTTGCAGGTTGGCTTTCAGCCAATATTCTCTTGACTTATCCAAGGATAAGAGCACACAACTTAAAAAGCTCTCCCAAACCTCTAATTAATCTGCCCCAAACCAACACAGACAATTTACATCACTAATTTACAGTATAGAAGTTCTAGGACAAAATTCAGATATATGCAGTGGAGACTAAAATTACAAATCCATGCACACAGGCCACCAAACACTGGGGTCCAGTAAATCCTAAATCCTAAAAAGTCAAGACATGTAGTGAGAACATCTTCCATCGCAACTAGCTGGAGAATGGTGGTGTAGACCCACCACTAGAGGGTGACAGAATATTACATTTCGTTAATGGCAGGTGGTGGTATTTTACACGTACATTAGTGAACATACACGAGGGTGACTAATTAGTTTTTCATAACAGTCCTTTGTGCTCTTTGAGCGGCTTATACTTATTCTGGAGAACAAATTGAAGCCTTTCTGTAAATCTTAACATTCTTCATAGTCTAGGAGAAAGATTTCCTGTGGACCTGTCTCTCCTTCTAACATCATCACCTAATACTCTTGTCCAAATAAATAAAAAAATAAAAACTCAGAAGGTGAAGACAAGGTAGGTAGGCCAAGGCAAGGGAATGGTACAGAGAAATTATGACCGCCCTTTAGGCACAACACAAATCCCCTTCCCATCCCCTGCCCCCAAAAGAATCTGTTGTTTTACTGAAGCACGAAGAAAAAATGAAAGAACATTTTGAAATCCCAACAGAAAGATAAAGAAAGTGGAAGAGATATAGGAAAAAGGAAGGAACAAAATAAGTACTACTATAATTCTGATGGTAACAAGTATAATTGTATCAAGTAAAATTACTGGTGGTTCATGACCCTTGGTCCACAAAGTTATTTTATTTATATAATATTTTTAAGGAAGTGTGTGATGATGCAGATGAGTGCTGTTCTTAACAGAAAGCATTCAGGTTGGATAATTTTGCGCAAAGTTTGGAAAGTGCTGAATCAAGTTCTTCCCATGATTTTCATCAAACTCATGACTTCCCTTCCAATTTTAGTGCAAAGAGAGCTTTCCCATGCACCTCTATTCCCTTACTGTGTGCCAAAACTCCCTATGCTTTACTGCCAAATTAACGAATTAAATTAGGAATGAGGGGTTAATAATTGCTCACTTAGTTGTGCTTTTCTGAAGGGAATTTCTCTGGGACTAGTGGTCATTCTTATCACACTGCATTCAGGCACAGGGAGTGTGTCTGTTCCTTAGAGGAAAGTGACATTGGGATTTCTGTCACCCCATTCAACTCACTCCTGTGGTTGAGAAATTATTTTTGGTAAAGACATCCTGCTCAATTTAGCTGTGTTATAGAAAAAAAAAAAAGCCTAGATGATGTCATTTTGGCATCTCCATATCTTTGGGATATAATTTGAAAACTTTGAAACCTCACACTTTAAGCTCTCACCTATGTATCTGTGTAACCAAACAGCTCTTGAAACCTACACATGAGTATTGATTCTCTTTCTAAATTGTGCCTGCCTTCTGGCTACTGTTGGAGATTGCAATCCCATTTCTGTTGGAATATAAACATCCATGTGGTTGAAAGTAAAGCAAGGACATGTTTTAACAAGGCAGCACTCTAAGGGCCTGATCCTTAGACTACTAAATTTAAAGGAAAATCTATTATTAATTCAAACAGAATTTGGATCACAGCCCAACACTGTTACTGTTACTTAAGTATTAATGTCCCGATGTCCATTTTATTTTTCATGAAAACCAGGTAGGATGTGACTAATAGAGGCTGAGAATCATTCCCAGTTGATGATCACTACTTTTGACCTCTGATCCATGCATGGATCAGAAGCATGCCTAGAATCTACAAGTTACTTATTTCCATTGTTAACATGTTAATGCAGTTTTTGTTAGAAATGTTGCCAATAAGTAGAACTACATAGATGTATTCACAGATGATGTATATGGATATCTTCAACTTACATAATTTATACATGCTTCATATTCAGAATTCTTTTCTACCATAGAATAATATGTGGGAATTAAATAGATTTTTACAATAATTTCACTCTCGTATGCAGTGCTCAACTA